GTGAGGACACGATCCTTTGGAGGGGGTACTGTCACGAACCGCCCTCACGGCGCCACGTTTCCTTTTCGATTCGGACCACTGCCTCGTACGTTTCCTTATTGTTCACTACTCGCTACGGTTTCCCTTTGTCCACACACGGACAATAGCTCCCTTTGTCCCCACGTCCGCTATTGTCCTACACCCCTTGTACTCCGTACCCATGGCAACGCTATTGTTCTCTAGCGCCCATTGTTCGTTCCCTGTATATAGCTGGATCCCTTGCTACCTGGAGACTCTAGTTTCGACCTCTTGTCTCCAGGTAAGCCATCGTGTATTTCGCTCTGTAGATACTTCGCTCAATACACAACTTGTCTCCAGTCCTGCCTGTTGAGCTCCGCTCCAGTCTCACTGCGATCAGAGCTCGTCGGCGCTCCTGCCTGCCTCGCTCGTCTCCACTTACTCGCTCGACAGTCAGTCGTAACACCTGGCCGCTCCATCCTGGGTGTCGGTAGTTGCGACTCTGTGATGGGCGACGTGACACTGAAGGAGCTTCGCCGTCGTGACGTGCGAAGAGGAGGGAGAGAGAGGAGCGTTACCCTGGTCGCACGCGCGGGGTCATGGCTCCAGAGTGCCGCTTAGAGAGCATGGATGTGGAGGCCCCGAGATCGCTGGCATGAAGCGCGCGCGCTGACTCCGGCCGAGCGACAAACCTGATGATGTGTGGATATCCATCCTCAGCCAACTCAACATCTACGTGAACACGCATGCAGAAGAGCTCCGCTCGCACTTCGCAGGTCTGGGTAAGATACCCAAAGACGCGGCACATGCGGGCAGAGGTCTGCCGCGTGCGCGTGTGGAGGGCTGAACACGAACGAGATCGGAGAAGAGGAACGAACTCCTTGGAATTTTGTCCTTGTGAGTGCGCGACGTCGACAGAGGACGAGTTATGTCAAGGGATACCAGATATCTCAATTGTCCATGAGTGGTGTGTAGGTGTTCTGCATGGGTGGTATGTAAGCAAAGGGGTGCATATATGCGCCCCAAATACACATAGAGCCTCCTAGAATGCCATACGACGGCCCATCAGACTTGGCAGCAAGCACGGGCGTTGGTAGAACATTGTGCCCGAAGTCATGACGCTTGATTCTTGAGGATTGAGTTCTGTGAGGGAGGGAGATGATAGTGGGGCGAGGGGAAGATGGACATGACGTTTTTTGTATGTGGACGCTCTTTATAGCGCAAAGGTGAAGAGCTTATGACGCGTGTAGGCACCTACGCGACGTTCACCGCGCTAAACACGCACTCGCGCTCCATGATTAACATGATTACCCTCGCCCTCGTCCTCGCCCTCGCCTCCACATTTCTCGTTGCCCCCACCCGCTATACTCCCGTCAACTGACTCCGTACGTTCACCGGGCCTCCTCGTAGATAATCCTATCTCCTTCCCTGCGCACTTTCCTAACGCTGCTCATCCACAGTGCACGAGCTGCTCGTGCTACCCAGCGCAATCGAGTCCCGGAGGACCTTGCCCACAAATTTCCATCCCGGATGCGTGATCTTAGACGTTCATGCCATGCTAGAAGACAAGCGCATCGGCCTTGCGCTTGCTGTCTCGAGCTCTACAGCCATCGGCACGAGCTTCATCCTCACCAGAAAGGTCGGCTCCTCGCTGGCAAGCTGACACTCGCGGGGAACAACCAGTTCACTCACATAAGTACCTACGTATTTGGCATCACCGTCGTGCGTTGCATTTCCAGATGAACTACTTAAACAAGCCCCTCAGCACCTTCTCCACGAATGTGTAGGTTCATCCCCTCTTTCCCCTGTGGCTTCCCCGACTGATGCGCTGACTTCGTACAGCGTGAACCCGATGTACTACGTCAGCTTCTCCACCGCGACAATTGTCGCCTCTGTCATCCTCTTCCGAGGCTTCAACACGGACGACCCCGCCAACTCCATCTCCCTCCTCACCGGCTTCATCACCACCTTCCCAAGCGTTCACCTTGAGATTTCCCGCAAGCGCGACCTCGGCACTCTCCCCGGGGGCCACCACCCACACTCCGCCCTTGAGTCCGGCTTGATGAACCTGCGACTGAGCATACATGGACGAATGTTGATCGCCGGGTGGAACGACACAGCAGGGACGCCTATTGGGAGCATAAGGCCCGTCCCTGCGAACGGGCATGGGGGGGCATGGCAGGCGGAGCTCGCTGTACCGCAATCAGATACAGACGCTCTTTGAGGCGCTTGAGGAGGACGGGGACGAGGACCACGCAGATGGGATGGGGCTGGACACGTTGCATGAGGCGGAGGACGACGAGCTCGAGGCGGACGAGCGGACGGCGCTGGGGAAGGGGAGGAACTAGACTTCGGCCGCCATGTAACTCGTACAATGCAGCGTCAAATAACTGTCCCCTCACTTACCAGGCCCGAGCCACGGCCTCGCTGTCCAGTCTCCTGCGGCACTACTAACGCATCACTTTCCGTATGCTGAACTGCGTGACTCAACTGGTTAAGTTTCCTTTCCTACTAATGACCACCCTACCTTGTTGCGCTGACTCGTGAGGTCATGGAAACCCGAGCGTATATCGCGCTGGCATGCAATCTCGCCGCAAGTCTTGCACGGTATTGTGAGTATTGTGCGGACAAGCCTCCTTGACTCCCAGATCGGGTGCTCGCGCCGTCTCGCGCCGTAACCGGCGCTTCAGGCGCCACATACAATCCTGGAGGACACTTTTACACTTTTGCTGATGGCAGGTATTACGTCCTGGCATTTATTATGACACCCTTGCGTTGTGCAGCTGGTGACGGCTGGTCACCGCTCCCGGTTGAGACTGGATGCTTGATTCGTGGGTATAAGATTGTGCTTGAAGGGGAAGAATCAACATAAGGCTTCCGACGGGCTCGTGAGAGCCGCAGAGCGGCCGATCCCTTCGTAACAACGGATGCTAGAATTACGTCGCTGATGATGTTCTCCGCCAGGAGCGCAGGAAGGGAGGCCAGTACACTCTAGACGAGCCTGAGGTTCCCACAACTTTGACTTCCCGCCGCAGCATGCCAGGGGTCATCGACTTGTCACGCTTCCGCCCCGTCATCACTAAGGACACAAACCGTCATATGTTGCGTATCACACGAACGTGGGCTTGTTGTTCCCGGTCTTCCGCCGCTACTGATTCAATTCAGCTTCGACGACCCAGACATCTGGACTTGGCCCCTCCAGTGGCTTTCCATTCGACGGGGGGCCACAGTTGTAAGTGTTGAACTTGGACTTATCCGGTCCGGACTACACGAGGCTATGCGTCTCCTAGCGCTTAGCTGTAGTCGCTTATGTAGTATGTTACCATATTTGGGACTCTCTGCTCGTGTACTATAGCTATGCTTCCGGACTCTTCTGGTACTGTCTAGGACAATCCGTACTACTCCAGAACGGTCTAGACAGGTCTATGCCTTACTCATCTCTTACTCATCCTATGGTGCGATACGTCGCAATTCTTTCACCATCGTATTATTCATCGCACTATGGTAC